TTGCCGTTGAGCAGGATCTGAGACAGCTTGGTCGTCGTGAAGCCCGTCGGCGTCTTGGTGCTGTCGGTTCGCGCGAGAAGACGGGTGAGCGCGGTCACCTAGAGCGAAAATACTCTCTCCACCCGAAACGGAAGAGATGCGAAGCGTACAATTCGGTCACGTCCTCGAGCACCATGTCTATAGCACAGGGCAATGTAATCGTTAGATCCATCACGGAATTCGCGCCCTACACCGGCATCAGCGAAGAGTAATGAATGATCTTGTTGCCAACGAGCGCAATACGCACTGACAAAGTCGTCAAAGCCAACCAGCGTGCCCGTGAACTCCTTCTCCGACTTCATGATAACCCACAAGCGCGAGCCGATGCACTTGTCGATAAGTTCTGATACAACAGCACAAATCACACTCTAATCAGCTTTCTTTGCTGGTCCATGATCGACGCGCGCCCAGGTTCACGGGTGACGAAGCCGAAGATCCAAACCGAGCGGGAGCATCTGAGGGACGGCGGCCATCTTGATTGGTCGGGTTTGGCCGTTGACAAATTTGGTCGAGGTTAGATTGCCGGCAGTCGCGTTTCGTGGGCACGCTTAGGCAGCCGATGGTCGAAATTGGTCGCCGTTGAGAGGTTGCCTCGCAGTCGAAGCTGGTCATCTCGCGGTTGGTTCGCGTGCGGCCCGTGATAAACGCGTGACATGACCTTTCACTGTCTTCGCGTGCTCAGCTCCTTCGCCAGCTTGCTCGACTGCCCTCGACTTGATCTGCTGCATGATGGTGGTGCACCTCGTCGACTTGGCCAACCCCGCTGCAACTCCTCGCAAAGAGCACGGCGGTTTCGCTGCTGGTTGCTGGCTCCTCGCTCGTCGCGGCCAGTCAAAACTTGAAGAGTCGATTCGGCCCAACTTCGTTCGGTCGGGGCAAACTTGAACCGAAAAGCGCCACTCTTGCTTCCACACGCCGTCCATGCACTTTCCAGGGCACTTCTCGAGGCATCTTTGCGGTGGCGCGCCACCGTTTTGCATCCGGAAAACTTGAAAATGCTGCCTGCTTCGGCTTGGAGAGCGGGTTTTCGCCACCGTTCGTGCGGTGGCGCCATATCAACCTGCACTTTTCGGAACACGGCATTTGCAACCGACGTCAACACTTCATCCACCGTTTGCGTTTGTCCCGTCGGTCTCCCAACGATCACGAAAAATGTCTCCCCGCCAGCTTTTGGATTCGCGACCAATCTGTCCTGGCCGACGCACCGTGCGTCATGGGTTGCTGCCACCAGCGCCGGCACGCGTGCACGCGCTCGAAATGCTCGAAGACCACGGCCGTTTCGTACTCGATTGCTGATTGCTGGGGGCAACGATCCGCTCCTATCGCGTAACAAGGATTGGATCACCTTCTTTCGCGGCCGCCTGTTGTTCGCGGCTTGCTCGAGGCAAACCGTATTGCGCCGAGGCAGAGGGTCTCTGGCGTCGCCCAGTACCCCGCCGGCGCGCGACCGTTGCGCAGGCCACCCCGACCTGGTTGATCACGATTGTCTTGCCCCCACGCCCGCACGACTTGTCCACCCGATCCCGTCGCCAAACCCCCGTACCGCACGCGATGTCGAAGGCAAAACGTTTCGCGCGACCTGCGGGAGTCTCGACGACCGCCACGCCACCGTCTTTGTGCGCGGGAATCGACAGGAATCGACAGGCATGTTATCGAACGAAGGCGCGACCATGCGGATGGGCCAAAACCTCAAGCAGGACCAGCAGGGCATCGCCAGCATGGACGAGACACGGTCGGTCGGCCATGATCACTGGTCCCTTGCGCGCTCCCAACCGATGAAATTCGCGACCGAGGTTGCATGGCACGCAACGTCCCGCCCCATTCTATTTGTCCCCGCCGTCCTCGCCCCCGCTGCACGCACGCATCGCGCGCCCATGGCGCCCCGACATCACCCGCGACACGCATGTTATGGCGATGGCGAAACGGACGCGCGCCGCGGTATAAAGTCACGTCGACCCCCGGCGCCCTGGATGTCGCGATCTCTTCTCCCTGCGGTCCGGCGCGCTCCGACGACAACGACGTCTACTCCGGCGACGATCACGACGACGACCACGACGACGACGCGTCCGATCCTACCTTCACCATGGGCGGCAACTGGCTCGCCAACCACTTCTCCGACACGCGGTCACGCCGCACGCTCGCCGACATCGAAAAGGAAAAATTTCTCATTGCCGGCCATGTCCCGTTCAAGCGGTGGATGCTGATCCCGGCGTGCATTGTCATCCAAGTCTGTGTGGTATGTGCTGGTGGCGACGATGCGCGGTCGTCCTGATTTTTTCAGCGTGTCGATGCGGTTTCTGATGTGGCCGCGATACTCCATCATTTCAGGGATCCTTCTACGCCTGGTACGCGTGCGCCCACCGAATCTCGAAGAGCATCGCCGCGGCGCGCTCCGGCCATGCCATTTCGCCACCATTCCGGCGCGATTTTCGCGTGACCGAAGTACTTGCTCACTTCGGACATGACCGACATCCCCTCCCATCCAGGTCCGTGTATAATGGCCCAATCAAGGAGGTCATGGGCGCTGACGCGACCGAGGAGTCGATTTCCGAAACGTTCTACGTGGCCGTGGGCTGTTTCGGAATCGCGTCGTGCCTGATTGGTCCCGTCCTCGAGCGGCGCGGTCCCTTTTTTGTCTCCGTCACGGGCGCCGTCCTGTTCTTGATTGGCCAAATGTTGTCGGCGCTCGGGTGCGCGGTGCACCAAGTATGGATTCTTTACCTCGGCTACGGTCTATTTGGCGGTGCTGGTATCGGCATGGCGTACATTACCCCTGTTGCCGGTACGTTTCCGTTCGCCGCTCCATGCCGGTCAACTGCGCAGGTCCTCGTCTGACGCCCATTCGCTCTACGTTTAGTCCTCCAACGGTGGTACCCCGAGAAGCGCGGTCTCGCGTCGGGCATTGCCGTCGGCGCCTTTGGTGCCGGTTCCGTGGTCGCGTCGTTCACGCAAGCCGCGCTCCTACAGTCGCTCGGCCCCATGTACTGCTTCATCGTCCTCGGCATCACCTACTTCGTGATCCATTTGATCGCGTCGTTTGTGTTGCGGTACCCGGCGCCGCCGTCGCTCATCACGGACGCGGACAAGCCTACGGGCGGCGTGCACTCGCCGACGCGCCCGACCCCCGTCGCGGTCGCTGGGCTCGGATCGCATCGCCCGTCCGTGACGGCGGTCGCTCCCGCGGCACGGATCAAGCCCACGACCAAGCCTGCCGAGACCGACCCGTCACCCAACGCGTCGGGCACGACCGTGCCCGCCGCACCTGAGCTGACGCTCGTCCAGGAACTGCGCTCGCCGCTCTACATCATGATCTACATTGTCTACTTCCTGTCGGTGATTCCCGGTCTCGTCATGGTCTCGCGCGTCGCCGATATGGTCAAGTCGGCGTTTGGCAAGCCGACCACGACGGCGACCTGGGTCGTGGGCGTGAACGGCTTCTTCAACGTGCTCGGCCGCCTGTTATTTGGCGGCTTGTCCGACAAGCTCGGCACGTTCCCGCTGTTCCTGTTCAGTATCGTCGTGACGATCATCAGCATGGTCGTGCTGCTCTTCTCGTTCCACGGCGACATGTTCATCGTGTATTGCATTGCCATGTGGGTGCTCACCACCACCTACGGCGCTGCGCTCGGGCTCGTACCGGGCCTCCTCACCGAGTCGTTTGGGCCCAAGCATTTCAGCGCGCTCTACGGCGTCATGATTACGAGTTGGGCGTCGGGCGGTGTCATTGGCGGCGTGGTACGTTTCTTCCCCACCCTTTTTCGTTGGCCGTCACCTCACCTTGCCTCTCACCTTGCTCGTGTTCGACTCTCTAGGGCTTTACGGCCGTCATCAAGGCCCAGCGGCACAAGGGCGTCGACAAGACGCATGTTTACGATATCTGCATCTACTCGATGCTTCCGCTGGCCGGGCTCGGCGTGATTCTCATGTTTGCTCTCGCCAAGATGCGCCGGCAGCGCAAGAATAGCAAGGCCAAGAACGCTGTGGGGATTGCGCCCGCAGCGACGGCACCAGCCGCGTAGAGAGAGAGGAATTCCTCCCCGTAGAGGGCGTGTAGATTGTATTTAGATGGTTTTTGGACATTGTCTTCTTTTTTGGATGTTGATTGTGATGGCGCGGCGCGGGGCACGCTGGGCACGACCAGGGTGACTGTGACTCGCTCATGAAGCCAGATTCCCATTTTCGTGTGCTTTGGATTGATACAACCGGCATTTTGAGCCTCTTGGTCAAACACGCTATCGTCGTACGTGCAACCCAGGATCTCCAAGACTGCAAGGGTCCCAAAGGCGTGGAAATCGAATAGTGTGAACGAGACTTAACACCAAATCACAGCAATCATTACACTTTGGCGGATAGACAGCCAGTAGGCCACAAACACAATGTTTTATTGACCGACCAGCTCCAAACCGTGCACGACTAACGACTGTCACTTGAAGAGCAATACGCAGAAAAAAGAATATGAGAACCGGCACGGTGTGGGGGTCAGCTCCGAAACAACAATTGTCTGCCCGCGCACCTGGCTTGACGGGGGCGACTTGCAAGCGAGCCACCCCCAGAAACGCAACCCTTCAACCAACTCAACCTCCTCCACATGACCAACCCAACAAATTCGACGAACCGGCGCCACGGAGAAAGTCCGCGACGCGGCGACGGGCCGTGATCCTCGCCGCGAACACGGGGTGCGCGTGCCGCGCCTCCTTCTCGCCACGCTGCACGCAGCGCGGCGCGACGGAATAGCGCGGGGCACGACGACGGCGACGGATCACGGCGACTTGGCCCGGCGCGCGAGCGGCGCGCGGTTCACGGTCACGACGGGGTGGCGGCCGCGGGCGCGGCGGCGCAGCCTCGATCAGGTCACGAACATGCGGCAAGCGCAGCTCCGACTGGATCACAGTCGACACCGCGTCCATGATGCGCACGAGCGCGGCGCGCGTGGTGAGCACCCTGGACCGCGGCGGGGGCGCGCGCCGTTGGTGAAGAGGTTATCATTCCACCCTTCCAAGGTGGCTTCCCGGGTTCGAATCCCGGACGGCGCACTAAATGATGCCTTTCGAGAAACGTTGCGAGCGTCGCAGCTTTTGTTCAGCGTTTGGGCCGACCTGCCCGCTTGTTCGCTTTTGTGCGTGCGAATTGTAATTCAGGGGCAGGGGGGGGGGGGGGCATTCTGCATTGGTACTTATATTAACTACGACCAAGACAAAGCGATGTCACGTCGCTCCCTGGCTCACAAAAGCTTGTCAAACTCTGCCAGCACCTGGACGAGCACGTCGACCTCCTCGGGCGTGACCGCGTTATACAAACTCGCGCGGCACCCACCGACCGACCGGTGCCCGGCCAGCCCCACGATCCCACGCGTCTCGGCAAACTTGACAAACTTGGCCTCGAGCCTCTCATCGGGCTTCCCATCGGCATCGACGACGCGGAACACGACGTTCGTCAAACTGCGCCAGGGCTTAGCAATGATCGGCGCGTAGTGCCGCATCGACTCGAGTGCCGCGTAGACCTTGGCCGCCTTGGCCGCAGCACGAGGGACCGCCCACTCGAGCCCGCCATTCTCGCGCATCCACTGCAGGACCAGACCCGTCACGAACATGGCGTAGACGGGCGGCGTGTTGTAGAGCGAGTTGGACGCGAGGTAGGTCGCGTAGTCGAGCATCAGCGGCAGTCTCGCAGTCGGGTGCGCGGGCGTGGCGAGCAAATCCTTGCGCAGGATCACGAGCGTAACACCCGCGGGCCCGAGGTTCTTTTGCGCGCCCGCGAAGATCAGCGCGTACTTCGTCACGTCGATCGGCATGGCCAACAGGTCCGACGACATGTCGGCGACGACGGGCGCGGTCGGGTGCAGCGCCTTCAAAACACGCGCCTCGTCGTGCAGGAGCTCGATGCCGTTGACCGTCTCGTTGGAGCACAGGTATGAGTAGAGCGGCGCGGTCTTGCCCGTCGTCGGAGTCCACGCCGCCGGGTCGGCGACGGTCACGTCCTTGGAGACCGCAGGGTTGACCACGTTCACCTGCACGCCCGCGGCGCGCGCAGCCTCGGCGGCCTTGGACGACCAGGTCCCGGACACGACATAGTCGGCCGTGACGGGCACCTTGGCGCCCGCAGGCGCGCGCGCGAGCAAATTGGCGGCCACGGCGTGGAACTGGGTCGAGGCACCACCCTGGATCCACAGGACCGCGTAGGACTCGGGAATGTTGAGCAGAGCGCGCAGGTCGGCGTCGGCCTTGGCGAGAATCGCATCAAACGCCGGGGAACGGTGCGAAATGGACAGGATCGAGAGCCCGGGCGTGCCCTGCACGCCCTCGGAGACGGCGCGCGCGGCTTCGGCGAGGACCGAGGGGGGAAGTGCGCCGGGACCGGCGTTCATGTTGATGGCGCGCGCCAGGGTCGCGGCCGGCGCGGACGCGGGTGCAGCGGGTGCAGCGGGTGCAGCGGGTGCAGCGGGCGCCGCGGCGGGCTTGGTCGTGTTGTTGGACATGACGGTGGTCAACTTGCTGGAGTGGTCGGAGAGAGTGAAGACGGGTGAAGACGAGCGAGCGAGGCGACGCTGCTCGCTTTTCACAGTTGGTGATCGCGGTGGACACGCGTGGGCAGCAGGGATGCGCGAAGAGGGATGGCTCCGAAATCCGAACCGCGCCGGGTCGCGAATCATATCCACACGTGACCGCGTGCTGAAGTGCCACTTTCGCCGACTCCAACACCAGTCAAATCGTGATTCACTCTCCGAAATCAGCTTGACTTTCGCCAACATTGCATTTACGCCTTCTCGCGTCTCGCGCTCCACAGTAAATCGTCGACAACGTTGCCGGCGCCGTCGTTCTGCCCGCGCGCCCTTGCACCGCCGCACCATCACTTGCTGCATTCAATCGCACTCGATCCGCGCGCATGGCCCGCGTGCCGCGCCGCACAGAGTCTCGCCCGCCGCCGCCCCGGCGCACCTGGACGGCGCTGCCCACGTTGGCCAACGACCCCGCGCACCCCCCTCGACCCATCCCTGACGTGCCTCCCAGCCCGCGCTACTCGACCCGCACGACGGTGAGGGCTTGACGCCGTCGCTACCGTTCGCCCGAGCACCACCATGGCCGACACGGATCCCGCCGCGCGGGCCGCCGGCGCTGGCAACGGCACCGCGCCGCTCCCTGCCAACTGGAAGGCCGTACGCGCGCCCGAGACGGGGCGCATCTATTACTACAACAAGATCACACGCGAGACGCGCTGGGAACCACCGACGAGCCCTGCTGCCGAAGTTCCCGCACCGGGCCAAAACGGCACCCTCGGACGCACGCCGCGCTGGTCGGCCGCACCGACTGCACCGAGCCCGCCTACGACCCCCACAACGCCTGCGCCGCCACCCGCGCCGGTCCTCGTACGCGCATTCTGTGCCCCGTCATGCTCATCCACTACATCATCTGATCCGCCATCTTTCCCTTTGGTAGCGCCCGCTCATCATCGACATGCCGGCTGCACCAACGCTCCCAACGCCCGCGGGCGTCAGCCCTTTCCCGAGCTTCTCGGCACTCAGCTCGCCGGGCCCCGCGACTCCGCCGGCGGCGGCGGCGGTACCCGTCACTCCGGCCTCGATCCCGCTTCCGCCGACCCCCGCCGGATCGCGCATCGTGAGCAGTTCCGCATCCGCGGCACCCGCACGCGCACCACCGACCGTCCCGGAATCAAGCGAGTCCGAGCCCATCCCGCTCCCGCGCGCGTCGCCCGCCGAGGAAACGCTGCGTCCGCCCGTGCCCTCGCGCGTCGCTGAACTCGCACGCGTGTTTGATCCGCGCGTCAAGCCCGCGCACGTCCTCGCGCGCGCGTCGGTCGATGGTGGGCGGCCTGCCGGGAGTGGGCAGGTTGCGGCGATCGCGAATGCTCTGCGCAAGCAGGCGGGCGAAATGTCGCCCCATGAAGGACCGCGCCGAGGGTCTGCGACGCCTGCGGGTGGACCGGCACGCACCGCTGCTACTTCTGCCGCTGCTACCGCGGGGATGGCGGCGGGAAGGGATACATCGAGTCCCGACGCGCCAGCGGGAAGTCGCGCACGCGATCCGCCCGCGGCAGATACGGACACGGTGGCTGCATCCGCGGCGCCCGTGAGCCCCGCGCGGTGGCGGTCGCAGGGCAAGTTCGCCGACTCGGAACTCGGAACGTTCATTTCGCAGCTCGACACGGTGCTCAAAGTACGTCCCGTTTGTGCGCGTACACGCACCCCCCGCTCCACTCCGCTCACTTCCGCGTACCTAGTCTTCGCACGAATCGCAACTCAATACCACCTCCACGCGCCGCAGCATCGACGCACTGCGCAAGTCCGGGTCGGCCGACCTGCTCGCAACCTCCACCTCCTCGACGACGACTTCACCGCCAGCAGCACCGGAACCTGCGCCTCCGCGGTCGCCGCTCGCGGCAGTGGCCGCCCCCGCTCTATGCGCGTCGCCGCTGCCGCTTCCTCACGATGACGACGATGTTATGGCGGCCAAGCCAAGATCGGCGTCGTTTGGGTCGCTCAAGGTGCTTGCTGCCAGACCCGATTCGCCACCGGTGCGCGCTGGATCGCGGCCGCTGGCGTTGGCGGTGCCGGATGAGAGTGGCTCGGCGAGTGCAACGTCGCCGTCGACGACGCTCGCGGGGATGTTCCGCCGGTCCCGGTCGCCGTCATTGAATAGTAGCGGTACGTTTGGGTTTGGGGGCGCTGCGTAAGTAGAGGGTAGAATGGCTCACACAAAAGGGTTTATTTAGCGGCGCCGCGCAAGGAAGATCTCATGCCGCACGCCCCCGTGCCGACCATCGACCGCGACAAGACCGCATCCGCAACTCGCGACCTCAATAGCGAGTCAGTGCAGTCGACCCTTATGAGCAAGCTCGCGGGGCTCGGCGGCGGGAGCGGGTCGCCGCAGGCCGAGCGCGCGAGTAAGAAAAAGGACAAGGCCGACAAGGCCGACAAGACGCGATCCACGTCCGGACGCCCCGCGTCATCGCCATCGGGTAGCGATCTCACCGCGTCGTCGCCGTCGGACCTGCAGGCGTCGCCCAGCACCGCCTCGTCGACGGGCAGTAAAGTGATGCGGTTCTTCAAGCGCGGCGGGTCCAAGACGGGCAAGGACGCGATGCTCTCGTCGGCCGGGCCCGCGTCGCCCGCAACCGCGCCTGTGTTTGGCGGGTATCTCGTGCAGATTGCCGCGCATGGCGTGCCCGCGCTCGTTGCTGCATGTACGACGTTTGTCGAGCGCAAGGGCACGCAAGTCGAGGGGATTTACCGGATTTCGGGCAACGCTGCTGCGATTCAGCGGCTCCGCGCCGCACTCTTGGCGGCCGGCGGGCACGTTGCCCCGCTCGGGTCGGGACCGCCGATACCCGTACCTAGCCCGTCCTCGGCCTCGAGCCCGTCTCCGCCGCCGACCCCCGCCGCGTCACCCGATTGTCCGCCAGACGTGGCCGCGTACGACGTGCACGTCGTGTCGGGCATCTTGAAAATGTTTTTCCGCGACCTCGCCGACCCGCTGCTCTGCGGCGACCTTTACGCCGACTGGATGCAGGCGGGTAAAGTGCCTGGGCCGTCGGCGGCGCGCGCACAGGCCGTGCGCGAAGTGTTGCGCAAGTTGCCGCCCGCGCACGCGCCTACGTTGGCGCACCTGATCCGGCACCTGCACCGGCTCGCTGCACACGCCGAGCGGACCAAGATGGATGCGGCCAATTTGGCGATTGTGTTTGGCCCGAATTTGCTCAAGCCGCCAAAGGGCGTGGAAGAGTCGCTCGATGCGATTTGGAATACTGAGCCGCAGAATGCGGTCGTGCAGGATATGATTGTCAATGCCGACGCGTGGTTCCCTGAAGAGGCCGAAGACGGGGAAGAAGACGGGGCGGTCGAGGAGGACGAGTTGTTGGAAGTCGCGGCCGTGATCAAGCTTGCGGGAATCGATGCGCTGGGCGCGCCGGCGCCGGCGGTGGTCTTGCCCGCGGGCGAGGACGCGAGACGACGGTCGGCGGCGATGCCGGGGATGTGAAGCAGAGGATGATGTGGGAAGACTTTGCAGGAGGGGGCGAT